AAAAAAAAAAGATTCAAAAAGTATAAATTTATGTATATAAACTACACTGAAGTTTGACTTCTCTGATTGCCCAAAGACCTCAGTCTTTGGAAGATGAAATAGACAACAGCCGTTTCTCATATTGCTCAGCCGTGACCAGTGAGTGCCTTATGCATTGGGGTCACCATCATATCTAACCAGCCTCACGGGGTCCTGCCATTTGGATTTATTCTGATTATCCAAATACTGAGTTTCAAGTATTGGTAAGCATTTTAATATAACAAGCAGCGGAACTCTGTGTGTGGGGGTCATATGTTGATGTTCCGTTCATCAAGCAGAACGTAATTATCATTGAAAGAGTGAAGTACAATAATTATCAGTGGTGACCGGGAGAGCATTGTGAAGTGTGAGCCTCTTTCTACAAGTCTTCAGAAAGCATCTTCTACACACGACCAAGCTTGTGTTTGTAGGATGCGTTCTGCGTGAAGCATCTCCATCAGCAGCTTCAAGTCCAAGGGTAGACAAGGAGGTGTCATTACCTAAGTTACTTTTGGAGAGGGGGCGTGTGCTTAATTCCCTCTCGGGTTTGGGGGAGTGCAACAGCAAAACAGCTCTTTACAGCAGAGCTAACTGGAAACTATCGAGCTACTCACCATCCACCATCTACCCAGTTACACAAATATACAGGGCAGTGACCACAGGGACTAATGACCAGCTAACCATGCCGAGAAATTATTACTGGAAAATATAATACATTGAAAAGTTAGCAGTAGGCTCGGCGCCTGTGGCTCAAGTGCCTAAGGCACCAGCCACATACACCTGAGTTGGCGGGCCCACCAGCCTGGGCCCACCAAACAACAATGACGGCTACAACCCAAAAATAGCCGGGCATTGTGGTGGGCGCCTGTAGTCCCAGCTACTTGGGAGGCAGAAGCAGGAGACTCACTTGAGCCCAGGAGTTGGAGGTTGCTGTGAGCTATGATGCCACAGCACTCTACGCAAGGGGACAGCTTGAGGCTCTGTCTCAAAAAAAAAAAAAAGAAAGAAAGAAAAGTTAACAGTGGCTAGGCATGGGGGCATGTGCACCTGTAGTCCCTGCTACTTGGGAAGCTGAGGTTGAAGGACTGCTTGAGGCTAGGAATTTAAGTCCAGCATGGACAATATAGTAAAACCTCTGTCTCTAAAAAAAAAAAAAGATAATTATTTTTAAAAGTTAGCAGTTGTTCACAGGTGGTATGTTGACATGTATGTCAGTGAAGTTCAGATTAAGCTGCTATAACAAAGAAACCCAAACACCGATTCAAACAGGATAAATAAATTCAAAAGAGTTTGTGTCTCTCTCACAAAACTGCACAGAAGTAAGAAGCTCTGCCCTAGATCCTCCGGGAACTTAAGTCCCTCCTGCCTCACTAGGTCACGTGACCTGACTGTGTGCAGGTGTGCTGTTTTCACCTGCTGACTCACCTCCACATCTTGGTTACAGCTGATAGGAAGAGGGGAAAAAGAAAAAGTAAAAGGCTAGCAGTTTCCTCTTAGGAAGAGACACATGTTTACTTTCTCTGCCATTGCAGTGATGAAAACTTAGGCTCAGGATCACACCTAGCTGCAAGAGAGGCTGAGAAATACCGTCTTTGGCTGGTCAGCCATGAACTCTGCCAAAACTTTGGAATTCTAAATTTTAGGATGAATCTCTTATGGAAAGGAAAAGGGGGAGACTGGATGTAAGAGACAGTGAACAGTTTCTTATTTTACTTAGCTATACTTAAACTTTTCATTTTAGTTCCCTTGATTTTTTTAATAAGGAATTCATATTCATTGTAAAAATATAATTAGAAAATACCAATAAGCAAAATGGAAGAAGAAACTCCCCCTCACCCCAAGAGGTTAGCTCTTTGCCAATCCTCCACCCAGCACTCTTTGGAGTTTTCTGAATATTTTTCCCCAGTTACATGTTGCTTTTTCCTTAAGGTGGCAGGAAATAAGCTTTTTTTTCTTTTCAAATCTTGTTTCCTGCTGCCATCTGTGTGTGCGTTTGAAGGAGACAAACCCCACAAGTGTGAAGTCTGTGGCAAGTGCTTTAGCAGAAAGGACAAGCTGAAAACCCACATGCGGTGCCACACGGGTGTGAAGCCCTACAAGTGTAAGACGTGCGACTACGCTGCCGCCGACAGCAGCAGCCTCAACAAGCACCTGCGGATACACTCGGACGAGCGGCCCTTCAAATGCCAGATCTGCCCGTACGCCAGCCGCAACTCCAGCCAGCTCACCGTCCACCTGCGCTCCCACACCGGTAAGTCCTGCCTCGGGTTCACGCTCCGCGCTGCTGACTTCCTGCGGCTTACATCTCAGGCACCTGTAGACACCATGTGAGAAGATGGGTTGAGACTTGTGGTTACTCCGTGGTTTTCAGTTCTGCTTTTTATCCTCCCAGAAGAGCCTTTCCCAGTTAAACAGGGGGAAGACATCGTTTATAACTTCATACATGTCTTTATATAACCTTATAGCTATCACTGATCCACTAGTAAAGTTTCTAACTGAGATGGGGCACTAAACCGAATACAGACATAAGCAAGGCATCATTAATAAATGATGGCTAGGCATTTCAGTAATTTTTTTTCTTTTGAGACAGAATCTCACTCTGTTGCCCCAGACTAGAGTGCTGTGATGTCATAGCTCACAGCAACCTTAAACTCTTTGGGCTTGGATAATCCTCTTGCCTCAGCCTTCCGAGTAGTTGGGACTACAGGCACCCACCAAAACACCCAGCTACTTTTTTTTTTTCTTTTCTATTTTTAGTAGAGATGGAGTGTTGCTCTTGCTCAGGCTGGTCTTGAACTCCTGAGTTCAAGCAATCCACCTGTCTCGGCTTCCCAGAGTGCTAGGATTACAGGCGTGAGCAACTGTGGCCCAGCCATTTCAATAATTTTTTAAAGTCTACTCTGATGCATCCAGCATAAGACAGCTTGACCAAAAATCATATAGCAAAATCTGGAGAATAGGTAACTCAACACGTTATATTTGTTTTACCTCAGACTTGTGTATCAGTTAGATATTGATACAGTGACGCTGCATGACAACCACGAAGGTGCACAGAGTCTCAGAGGCATATAATCAGCATTTGTGCTCATACATCAGGTCAGCAAACAGTTATCTAGACACCTCTGTTGATCTTCGTTTGGCTGACTCACCTGTGAGGGGCAGGCTGGGTGTCTGTTGACCTAGGCTGGAGATCTGGCTGTAGGCTGGCTGGCTGTCCTCTGGCCTGGTCTGAGGCAACCCAGCTCTATCCTCCTCTCATCCTCCTCCTGGGACCTTTGACTAACCCCAGCTTGTCCTCCCAAGGATGGCAGAGGTACAAGCCAGCCATCCCCAGCATGTCAGTCCATTTTAAGGCTCTGGTTGTGTATCAAGTCTCTGTGTGGATCACATTGGCTACAGCAAGTCACATGGTTGGTCCTGATGTCAGGAACGGGACTGAGCTCATCCACGGTGAGAGGTCACCACAAGGTCAGGTGGCAAAGGTCAGGGATTCAGGGAGGGGTGAAGAATTGGGACCATTTTTGCAAACAATTAGTCTCCCTCTATCCCCACCACCGTTCACATCTCTCCAACATGCCAAGTGCACTGTACACCTTCTCGGGAGCCCCACAAGTCTTATCCAATCATGAGATCAGAGTTTAAAGACCAGCTCGTGTGATCTCCACCAGGTCCACATATGGCTTTTCTTCATCCAAAGACATTGACGTAAAAGACAAGTTGTCTGTCACGATACCCCTAATACACAGTAGGAAAACCAAGCCAAGATGATTGGAATAATTCTGCTATTAGAAAGGGTAAGAATAGGAGGCATTGGCAGTCCCTGGTCCATAGCATTTTTTAAACCCTCCTGGGCAAATATTCCCAGGTTCCTCTCACTTAGTGACCAGGGAATGTTTCTTGAGTAGGCCTTAATTCAGCTCTTTGGTTTGCGAATCTGCCTGTGGAATATCTTTACCTTCATTTTCCTAAGCCGCTTCTGAAAATAATTGAAAAAGGTACCTTTGAAAAACTTTCTTACCCTACTTCCTGCCTATCAAAAGCTGGAGGGAGGTAAGAATGCAAAGTGAACGCTTATGTTTTGTTTTAGTCTAGGCTGGTGACAGTGCTGCTGTCTTTAGAACTTTGTGAGTTGCCTATATATCCACATACCGAAAGCCATACCCACGGTTATTTTGGAACCTTATCTCTTTTTCTAAACTCCATTATAGTCACTTTTGGCAGATAACCCTCTATAGAGTCCATCTTAGAGAACATTCCTGGCACCAACTTAATTCTTTGGGAGATTTTAACAAAGAACCTTATATTGAGACCCCTCATTTCTCCTTTGAGCTTCACTCTAAGATCAGTTCCTTGGATATGGCCATTGTGCTCAGGGACTTCTCTTACTTTGAACATCTGGCTGGAGGTGAGAAACTATACCCAGCACATTTTGACTTTCTTTATTTTTCTCTAAATTCTGCTTGGAAAATGGCTAATTCTTTATGTTTGTCTCTTTCTTACAGACTTTGTCTTCTGCAGCTTATAAAACACATTCTGTGTTCTGCCTAGAATTTATTTCTTCATTCAAGTTCAAAACTCATTGTGTGCCTTTCCTATCTTCTAAGCTGCCACAGGTGACAGCTTTACCAAATGTTTGCCATTCACCAGCGTGCATTGCCATTTTTCCAGCCTCCGGCTGCTGCCCACTCTCCAAACCAATGCTATATATTTTGGTTCTGTGTTACGGCAGCTCCCCATTCCTAGATAGCAACATCTGTATCCGTCATCTATTGTCACAATGATGTGTCATAATAAAAACCCACAAAATCTCAAGAGATAGAGTAATACGCCTCTTCTGTTCCCATGCTGGGGATCAGCTGGGTGTCATCTCGGTGGCTCTGCTGACCTTGCTGGGCTCACTTGTAAGTCTGAGACCCTGCTGGCTATGGGTTGGCTGCTCACTGGCTTTGTCTATGGAATCTGTCATCCTTCTCTTGGGACCAGCAAGCTAGGCCAGGATTGACCTCCTCATGGCGATGACCAAGTTGCAAGCAAGCCCCAAACCACAATCCCATTTCAAGCCAGTACTTGTGTCAAGTTACCCACAATTTGGCCAAATTCCATAACATGGTGAAGCTATTTATTGTGGGTCATGGCGGGTCATCCTATCTTTTGGAAGAGCGTAAATAATTACACACCTGGCAGAGGCTATGCCACAGCAGCGAGAGGAGATGGGGAGATTTGGGAACATTTCTGGAATCTACTATAAGAAATTAAGACATTGGCATGATTGATATCCAACTGATTGTCTTTGGAAAACTCCCCCAGCCTAAATTAGAGAAACCAAAGGATTCATTTGTGAATGTGGTTCATTTTGACTTACAAGGATGAACTTGACATTTATAGTAGCATCTTTAAATTGGTCTGGAAAAGCCATGTTTTCTAAAATTTAAATGTGGACTTGGCGCCCATAGCACAGTGGTTACGGTGCCAGCCACATACACCAAAATTCGTGGGTTCGAACCTGGCCCAGGCCAGCTAACCAACAATGACAAATGCAAAAAAAAAAATAGCCAGGGCATTGTGGGGCACCTGTAGTCCCATCTACTTGAGAGGGTGAGGCAAGAGAATCGCTTGAGCCCAAGAGTTTGAGGTTGCTGTGAGCTGTGACGTCACAGTACTCTACAGAGGGTGACATAGTGAGACTTTGTCTCCAAAAATAAATAAATATTTAAGTATTAATGTACACTGCTATGATTTAATAATAAAAAATTAAAAATAAAAATTTAAATGTGTGCCATTTATGCATTGTCTCCGTGGAAGGTTCATTCTCCCTATTACAAATCTGTGGCACTTGTAGAATTTTAAATTAATAGAATTCTGTTTTTACCCCTGCGTTGATTTGACGGACTACCTCATCAGTTGCTTTAGTAACAACCTAAACTCGAGAAAGATCTATCATCTTAAATCACTTATTCATTCAACGCTTTTTAAACCTCTCTATGGGCCAGACATTGTAGACATCAGGTAGTGGGCAAGAATGAATACAGTCATTAGCTTTGAAGCTTGCAGGCCAGTGGGCTGGTGATAAATATGGCTCATTGAAGAACTAAATTTATGGTTAAAGAAAAAGAAAAAGGCAATGATGAAGAGATTGAAGACTTTTGCTTTCATGTCAAAAAGTGTTGTTAAGCTCTGCAATTTAGCTGTGAGATTTGGTTATCGGGTTTCTCTAGATCTCAGCTATGCCTATTGCCCCAAAACGATGAAGACTGTCACTATGATTTGGGCAAGGATATCACTGGTAAACCAGCTAGGATGTTCTGGAGTTGTGTTTCATATTCTGGGTCCTCAGACATCTTCCCCCCCAGAAATCCATGAATAAAATTTGGGAGGGAGATCCATGAACTTGGATGGAAAGAAAAATTACATCTTCATTTTCGCTAACCTGCCCTGAAATTTGACATATCCTTCCATTATGAACATAGGCAACCAAGCTGGTAATAATGCCTGTGAACTTGTCACCAGTAAAGATCACAAATCTTTTCACAATAATTGTTGCAGAGAGACAAAATAGCTTCTACACTCTTCTTTATTTAGAAATTACTGTAGTTTCTAGACCCGCCGCTAAGTCTTATTATTTAATGCGTTAGTAAAACACATGCATTGGCATTTCACCATGTTTTGTTTTTCTTTTAACAACTGCTTTAATATAGTTTCTTTTATATTCTTATTGTTTTCATTTTAGCTTATTTTGTACATTTGAAACATTATCTGAGAAGGGTTCCATGGGCTTCACTAAACTGCCAAAAAAGGGTCATTGCATAAAAAGGGTTAAGAACAACATTCTGAAGCAGAAAAAGTGAACTTTTTCTGGAAAAGGCCAGATTGTAACTATTTTCAGCTTTGTGGGCCACAACTGCTCACCTGTGCCATTATGGAGTGAAAGTAACCATGTGTCAACAAATGGGCATGGCTGTGTTTTAATAAAACTTTATTAATACAAACAGACTGTGGGCAAGATTTGGCCCATAGGCTATAACTTACTGTTTCTTATTAATCTGGTATGCATGATCTTGGTGGTATTTAATCACACAAAGCGTTGTTTAGGTTTAGGCTTCTCAATTTTCTAGAAGCTTGTTAAATTGCTCCTTGCCATATCTATTTGCATGTCTTAAGCAAACATCATGGTGATTTTGTAGGCCCTATGCCAACAAACCAGGGGTTGGAGGGAGCAGTCCCAGTCTTTTGAGTTTATAGTCTAAGAATGCA